CTGAGTCCGGATATGAGACCGTGTCGTAAAAAGCAGTTGAAACGAGCTCACCTGTGACACTCTGAGCTTCAGAGCGAGATAGTAACAGATCCAAGCAGGCGACATGATGTGAAAAAAAGTGGGGGGGAGCAGTCCTGCACCTTAGTAATGATAACGAACTAATGACATTAGCGTGTGACTGGGCCGCTGCTGGAACAAGAACAAACATGTTCGTCTGTAATGGCAGCCGTCTACGGTGTTCTGAAAAGGTTTGCATCCCTGAAAAACGTTCCCCCACCAGAGGGGGCGCTCGCGAGTAGGAAGTAATCTGCTTTTCCCCCACAAGATGGCCCAAATCTCATGGGAATTCTCTGACTTTTGTGTTGGCGCCTCCTGGTGGACCATGTGTAAAATGCCAGAATTCATATGATGCTGCTACAGCTGATATATATTTGTTGTCAAAATACCTTTTAGTACATAYGTATGTTGTTAAAATAAAATGAACAGTTCAATGATCATTTTACTGATATGTATAAAGACTGCAAAGGCTGAAAAATCTTGAAGTCTGTATGAAATTGGAGGTAATTTGAGGATTAAATTTTTTATGCTTTTTAAGCTCATAAAAGAGGGGTCGTATTATACATGAGATCATATTATACATGCATAAATACGGTATATCGTGCCAAAAAAGCTGCTGTATGACTTTAGGAGTTCTTTTCTTTTACAACAGTTTGGTTTCTCTCCTCCACAGGTTTGTGCTGTGTGCGGCCAGGCTTTCCGTCGCAGGGAAATGATTCCGCATGAAGCACAGCGCACTCGGCCCCCCATCATCCTCTGCAACAGCAGCAGGTGTGACGACGTGACTCTCTCCCTCACCACACTTGGCTCACCTCTCAGCCGCTAAAACATTGCTGAATCGACTCCACTTCCTCCGACCCTTCCATATCTTCATCTTTAAACGCTGACTTAAAAAAGTAAATTAAAGTACAGACAATCAGCCGTTTTGGATTAAGAAGGAAGAAGACATATAACAAGCATTAAAGCTGATGGCGAAAGGAAAGTGAAAAAGTCGGAGTTAAAAGACAAAAGAAAAGGTTTTGGTTGAAATTTAAAGGAAGTGCAGTTAAAAGACGAGAGGGGAGATCAGCATGAAGTCGAACCAGGAGCGCAGTAATGAATGCCTGCCCCCCAAAAAGAGGGGCACGTCCAGCACGTTACCGTGTGAAAGTCGCTCTCCTACAATATCAGCTGTGGGTGACAGCCAGCGTGTGGACATCACGACCTGTCCTAGGGTGGCCGGTGGGAAAGAGAGCAGCACGGGTCCACACCTTAGCTCCAGTCAGTCTGACGGACCCCTTTATAAATCCCCCTCCTCTTTACCGGACTCTTCCTCACTGAAGCTAGTGTCAGCACTTCCTACAGTGTACACACCCCCCCTATCACAGTCCACAGTGGGAGGAACTGTCCATTACACGCAGCTGCCTCCCAATATGCAGTTTATAACTTCAACCTATACACCTCCATACGCAGGTTATATTTCCCCTCAGCTACTACCACCTCCTCCTCCACCTCCCCCGCTCTCCTCCTCCTCGTCCTCAGCCACACACAGACCTTCGTACRTGGAGACGGCGTCCGCCTCCAAACGCCATCAGCAGCGAGCGAGCACGGGCCGCACCTCCATGCCTCCTCCATCCACGGACCCCGTCCCTCACCACGTCCAGATGTCGACGTCGCCGCGRACCGTGCCTTCGCCGCACCACCAAGGAGGCGCTCACCTTCCGTCCCAGGCCGCGCATCCCCACTACACTTTGGGAGCGGGCTCATCCCAGCTCGTGGTAAAATACTCAGACGGACCCACCAGGAAAGAGGAAGCCGGGTCCAGACACAGGGAGCTGCTCAACGGGGAGCTGGAGCGAGTCCGACGGATTGGACCGCCATCGGAGTCCAGTCTCTCAAAGTCAGGGAGTAAATCCAGGGAGGCCACGTCCTCTTTGTCTTCCTATGAGGCCCGCCAGCTCGTTCTACCATCAGACTACTCTGCCCCGGATCACTTAGGCCTGAGAACCTCTGTCATGTTGATGCCTAATAGCCATGGAGACCACCACTTGGTGCCACCCAGAGCCAGCCCTGAAAAGCTGACAGCTTCTGCCCCCACACACCTGGAAAAAGGTGGCATCGGCATGGGCAAGCCTGTCAGTCGCACAGCCTCCTCATCCAACACCACCTGTTCTTTCACGTTTCCACCTCCGCAGAGTGCAGACAGTCTGAAAGCAGCTGTCGGCACAATGTCACCCCAGACTGTGATCCAGACCACCCACAATGCTACAGAGCCACTGTCAATGGGACTCCCCWCTACCACGATCTACCCACAGCCTCCTATTATTGGCTACATAGCGGGGGCCGGAGGGAGCAGCTACCACACCAGCCTACATCAACACTTACTCATTCCAGGCACCCAGCCGGTCATCATCCCTGTCAGTGGAGGTGGAGTCCCCACACTGGAACCGGTAACCTCCCACATGACGTCCTCTACCCAAGCCTCGTCTTTTCCTGCTACACTCCCGCACACGTACATCGCCGCCGCCCATAAAGGAGAAGCTCTGGACGCCCAAAGCAGTTCGATCCACGTGGCTCCGTCAGGTGCGGTGGTCCAAGCTCAGATTCACCTCCCCATCATTCCCACCTCGCCCGGGCTGGTCGCGGCCTCCACTCCCCCCGCCCCTTCCACTCCTTCTCTCCCGCCGTACTTYGTCAAGGGCTCCATCATCCAGCTGGCCGACGGGGAGCTGAAACGCGTGGAGGACCTGAAGACGGACGACTTCATCCAGAGCGCGGAGATCAGCAGCGACCTGAAAATCGATTCGTCCACGGTGGTGCGGATCGAAGGGAGCCACGTCTCGCCTAACTCTGCGGTCGTTCAGTTCGCCGTTGGGGAGCATCGCACGCAGGTGAGCAAAAGGCTGGAAACTTGAAGTGATGCTTCACCTCTTTTAAAGTGAAGCTCTGTGGAACGGTAATGAACAACCATTAACGTACCTGTTTGTCTTCCAATGATGAATTCATGATCTGATTGATGAACTAATGTTTAGCTCACACCATGTTGGACTGCTGCCATAAAAAACAACTCCAGTCTTAAAAATTTCATAGCAATGCATCCAAATTGTATTTTATAAACATTAGCATCTTTGTCAATTTAACAATTCACTGTTTTCCTAACACAGGAAGTGCCACAGCTAGCTGCTGCTGTGGCTATTTAGAAAATAGTATTCATGTTTTGGGATTAGAGTTGCGCGCACTTATTTACACTTTTGTTTCTTTAAGACAGTTGCTCAGTTTAATCTGTCCRTGCATCGACTTGTCTGCCAGCACATTTCCAACCATCTTTTCTTACCGGGCTTCTCTTTAAAAAAAAAAAACGACCATCTTTCAAAGCCTCAGCTGTCTCTAATGTTCTACTKTTTCCTTTCCTAAGGAGAGGTGGTAGCAACTTTCATTCCAGATACAGTAAAAATTATATATAACAAGAGGAAAACTATCTGCTGACATTTCTTTGAGCAGGTTCTGGAAACATCCTAAACTTGTATCATTTTTGAAATCGTTCTCTCTGGCGCTCACTGCCTCACTCTTCCTTTTGTTCAGCCCACCCTCACTGAGCAAACTTGCCGATTCATCTTCATCTTTGTAACTTCCTCCTCTTCCCTCTCCATTCTCTCTGCGCTGCTTCACATCTTTCTTTGCTTCAGTTGCTTCTCATGTTTATTCTCTTTCTTCACTGTTCTGGTCTTTTCTCAAAGCTGCCTCCTCTGCTGCTCTTTCATTTTATTTGATATTTTTAAATCAAATAATACTGCAATCCCCACCTAGTGTTTGATGTTTAAAATTACAGTTAAAAAATATGTGAAACATTTTCACTGGATAAAAATCTTTAGTTTTCTTCATGTTTATTGTGTTTTTTACTTACATGTAGCATGTATTAAAATCTAATAACAGATCTGTATTTAGCTTAACAATCTTTGTTATAAATAGTTCGTTGTAGTTTACAGTGTTCCAATCTTGTTGCTGCTAAAACACAACTTTAATTAAAAAAAGACTAAATTATTTGGCACAACAGCAGGAACATTAATTTGAAAAGACAAGTTTTCATCATATTGTTAAACCACTGCATTACCTGATATACACCATGAACCACAATGCCAGGTCATTTCTTTTTTTTAACTCAAAATGTTTATCTACTGCTTTCAAGTATTTTCAGTTTTTAAGAAGCTCCTCTTAAAGGGGATTTATGGCAGTGATCATTTGTTGATAATCTCTTTTAGTGAGTTTTGTTTTAAGACTTAAAGTGGAATTTTGGCAAAAATCTTTCTACGTTTTATTTCTGAGTTAAATGGTTCCTTTGTCCAGACACTGAAATGGCATTAAAATTGTTCATCCTTTAACCTGCATGATTATTTATCAGGTAAACCTTTGACTGCGTCGGTCTGGAAATGGTTCTTTGGTCCTTGGTGTCAAGGAGAAATAAAWTCAGTAAATGACAGCTGTGCTAAAGGGAAAACCAAACCCTCACTGGCTGCCTGATGTTTTCTACTCTTCTGTGATTGGTTGTAAATTAAAAATATGGCTTCATAAACAGTATTCAGTCGATGGATTTAGTCTCTGCTTTGAGGATTTGTAATTTTAGTAAATGAGATGAAGGKTTTAGTTGTAGTCATCTTATGAAAATGGAAGATATGAGAAAAGGAGTGGCCATGGCTAATACTGAAAGCCTTCTGGCAGATCAGTCATGTTAATTCATTCACTTTTRAGCTCATTTCTTAAAGTGCACCTTTAAAGCAGATTTGCACAGCAAGCAGCAAAAGTGTTTATTTTTGAGTATTTTTTCTGATTCTCTTTCCTCCAGGTTAGTGTGGAGGTCTTGCTGGAGTACCCCTTCTTCGTCTTTGGCCAAGGATGGTCTTCGTGCTGCCCCGACCGGACCACCCAGCTTCTGGAGCTGCCTTGCACCAAGCTTTCTGTGGGAGATGTTTGTATTTCACTCACTCTAAAGAACCTGAAGAACGGATCTCTGAAGAAGACTCAGCCTTCGGAGCCAAGTGCCCACACTTCTGTCCCACCCTCGAGCCACGAGCACCTCAAACCCCCCAGAGCTGTCTCCGACGCCCCCCAGAGCTGCAGTGGAGGGAACTCTAGGCACAGAGAGAGGGAGAACGGGATCRGCCAGCGAGGGAGCGGTGAAAGTGGGATCGGGAGCGGCGAGGGTTCCAGCGTGGAAAACGGAGATGTCATGTTTGGAGAAAGGGGATCTGTTTCCAAAGGTCAGGTGGGCAGCAGCACAGAAGCCGGCTCCAGTAGGCCAACGGGACGCAGGAAGAGGAGATGGTCTGCCCCCGAGGGTCGAAAAATAGAAAAATCTGAGGAGGAGCCACCTTTGACCTTGCCTAAACCTTCCTTCATCCCTCACGAGGTGAAAGTCAGCATTGAGGGAAGGTCGAATATTGGCAAGTAAATGTTAGGACTGTTAAAAAGCTTTGGGATTTWAAAAAAACATCAAAGGAGTCTAAAGAAAAAAAGGAAAGCCCACATTAATGTTTCATTTGTCTTTTCTGTTAGTTTTTTTTTCTTTCTTTTTTTTCTATCTTGAATACTGTACTGTAGAGGTAACCTCACCTTACAGCGCTATCACCTTACATTATATCACAGAAGCAAACTGGTGCCGTTTTGGTGATTTTTGTGCTGAATTTATTGGAGGCTCTGTGGCACACTGACGCAATGCTTGAGGGCTCTTGCTCAGCCATCTCCACTTTTACACATTTCTCCAAATTCAGGGGCTGCGTCCTCCGAAGGACTCGGCGTATCGGTCTAACTGGTCTACGTGCGCCAGGTGCTTTGTTGACAGCGAAGACCGAAAGAAAGGGACTGTGGCTTTGGACGGTCTAGCCTCGACGCAGCTCCTGTTTTTGGACTCAGCTAACGTGTAGCTTTTGTAGCACCCTTAGCTTCCTGACAGTGATTTCATTCCTTTGGACAAAAATACTTCCCTCCCAGAAAAAAAAAACTCTGCCCCACCAAGCGGCACCACTTCGTCTGACCCTGAGAAGGAAGAATTTTGTTTGGAATCAAATCACGATTGGGAACTGTAAGCCTGTCACGTGATTTTCAGCATCACGACAGCCTCAACAGGAAGTGATCAGGTAGCGCCAGAGTGCCACACAGCAGAGAGGGAACAACGCTCACTCTGCTCAGATTAACGGCAGCGGAGTCTTTTCTTTCAATTGTAGCATTTTAGTTTTACTCGTCTTTAAACCGCTCATATTCTGTCTCACCAGGTAGTTGCTTTAAATTATTGTCAAAAACCTAAATCAGGGGTCATTTATTAGTCCTTTGGTTGAGCCCAGGTGGGACATWGTTAGTGTGTAAATGTGATGACTAATATACGTGCAAAACACACTGGGTTGGTGAGCGAGGGAGGAAGACAGGATTGCAGACAATTCTGATTGTATTTAATGAATTACTTTATTATTTTTTTATATATTCATAAAATAGCTGTTGAGAGGAACAGAGAGGTTCTGCACGTCAGCTCTGAGAGGGTCAGGATGTTTCAAATCACTTTGTAACACACCTGTCGCATTAACATACTGCCAACAGATTTAAATTGTCTCTTTATTTACACTGTACTGTATGTTTTTTTTATTAATATTTGGACTATGATAGAAAATAGCAGCAGCACTTTGGAAAGCTTTTCGGAGGAAGGTGACAGAGTCGTTCAGTAGAGCAGACGTGCCATGGAATCAGAAAGCAGTGGAYGAATGTGACGACGATCTTAGTCGAGGCAAAATGTTGGATTTAAAAATGATTTTATTTTATTTTTTTAAGCTCTGAAAAGGATAAAGTCAAGTATTGGAATGTGTTTTGACAGTTTGGTCTCATGAGCAGAGAAAAAAAGGCTTTTTAACATCCCAGGAATGTTCTATACTAAAGTGAGCGCTCAGAAACTCTCACCGCATCATTTTGAAAGTTGTAACGTGTGCGTGAATGTGTCCATAAACCCACACATGCTTCAAAATTGCAGACAAAACAGTACAGATCATCCCTGAAATCTACAATACGTACTGTATTTTTAACACTCGAAGAGTTTCTGCAGATGCAAACGTTTCGGTGCATGAGGTCCCTCCTGCAGACGCTAGAGGACTGGTGGTGGATTGGTGCACACTGCTAACAGGACAAACTGATTTGTGGTGCGTTTATGTATGAGTGGAAGTTAAAGAGTGTATGCACATTGTGTATAGGCAACAAAGATATATATATATATATATAAAGATAAAGGCAATGTCCAGTGTTTCTACTTCGATTCTTTGAAGAATCTTGCGATTTGCACATCAGGAGGAAGGAGTTGGTTATRGAGACGTGACGTTTTGAGGAAACTGTCCTGAGACAAGCCCTAAACCACACGACACACTGGAGGAAACCAGGGTTGTTTTTTCACCTAACCACATTGACAGCAAAATGTTTTTTTTCAACAGCTCAGATGACAAATTACAATAAATTATTCAAGCATCGATACAGAGCAGAATACATGTGCCTGCCTACTGAATTCAATTATTTTAGGTGTCACCCAGTTAGATTCTCCTTGCAGTTTCCAGTCTGGGTTGGTCAGGTGTGYGTGTGATGAGGTGTTTTGTTTTAATAGTAGCTTAGACAGCCAAATGTCTGGATCACTGAGATGTACCTTAACGGATGTGTTTGCCCGGTGTTGGATAGTTGAAACGTTAAAGCAGCGGTGTTAAAGGTTAAACATTGTTACAGACTTGTTCCGGCAGATTGAAATCTCTGAAAAGGGACGGTTAAGATCTTCTGAAGCAGGACTCTGTGGAGGTTGAAGTTGTTTTAAGATGACAGCAGTCTGTTGAGAATTAAGCCCATTATTTCTCACAATTTTAGGCACTTTCACAAAACACTTCAAGCCAAGACTCGTTCTGTTTCATTGTGATTTCTGGAAGAACGAAAGCAGAACGTCAGCCTCTCAGTGTTGCGCCTATAAGGTAGCAACGGAGCCGTAACATTTGACTTGAGAGAAGCTAAAAATATCTTCAAACTCAAGGATATAGTGCTGCCACCTAGTGGCGAGCTTTAAAAACCTACACAACAATAAGCAGATTCATTAAGAGAGAAAACTGACAAAACTTTACATTTAGATAAAAGTTTAGTCAACCTCGAAGAAAAAAAAWTTGTGTTTTTAAAACTCCATCATCCACACTGCTGAGTTCTGCTCCATGTTTCCTTTTGTTTCACGATCCTTGCTTCATCTCTGAAATCTTTTGTCTAAATGGGACGCGGCCAACACAAGTGTTTTGTGGAAGTGCCTGATGACGGTAGTTAAAAGTTTCAGTTTGATTAACACGCTGCTGGCCCCAAGAGCTTCTGAAGATGATGTCTTCCTGCAGGGATTTATGTTGTCCGCCCTACAGATAATAAAAACACAACTAACACAAAGGGGTTCAACGTTTCCGGTTGTGGGAGTTTGATAAGTTGACGGCAGGATGGGTGGACGTGTGTTCAGATGGARGAGAAATCAATGGATTGTTGGTTGAATGAGACCCCAAACAAGATTTAAAAAGACTTTATTTTTTATAATAAAACAGGGTTTTCAGATTTAATTTTCCCTCCTTTCCTAGTCACTGTTATCATGACTAGTAATAGCAGTATGTTTGCATGTTTTGCCATTTGTGTGTGTGTGTGTGTGTGTTAAATGATTCTGTCTGTTTTCTCCCTTACAACGAAATGAGCAATGAAATAGTAGGAATACATTAAAACAAACCTCTTAGCCACTCAAACCAGTCAAATCAGGTAAAAAAAMMMMAAAACGAAGCCAAAGCCAAATGATTCTGTTGCTTTGGTTAGTTTAAAAAAGCAATAGTACAGCAATGTTCAGGCACTCTCATTGTATAAGAATAAAGCATTCTCTGCAATAAACATTTAATAATAATAGTAATAACAATTCTCCAGCACTACAACCAAAACAGTTATGCCTAAAGAGAAAATAAAAGTGTGTATAGCAGATAATATTTTCAGAAGCTAATATATCTGAATGTGATTTCTTTAGCTGAAACGTTTCCCCTGTATCGCCCATTTTAGGTTCCAGAAATTGCAGTTGCAGCGCTAGTTGCTAGTTTTCAGGGAAGACTTTTTTTATATATGCAGTAACTGAATCAAACCCCCGAAACCTCCTCTGTCTCTGGTGGTCGGTCAGAAACAGCTGAACTTTACCAGCAGCATCTGACTCCGCCCCCAGCTCTGCCTCGTTGCCACGACTACGTAGTGACCTCATTAACTTTGTTTCAGGTACCCAATCATAGCCAGCCAGCCTCAACAAGCACCTCCCCCCTTGAGGCGAAGCAATCGTATTATCCCCACCCCCTAACAACCGTTAGCTACCTTTTCAGCGCGAACAGGCCTGGACTTCCTGTTCCTGTCATGATGTTGTCTTTTAACTTAAAGGAGACATATCGTGCTTTTAAATCCTTTTTTTACATTAAATCGGTCAGTTTTGGGTCTTTATTAAGTGTCTATAAAAAAATGTCAGACTTGTCCATCCAGCCTTAAATGTTGGAGTCTGACTCAGAGAYGATGAATTTGTAGTTGGTAAGTCCGGACCTGATTTCCTTACTTGGCAGTTCCGTTGCAAATTCTGTGACGTATTCGTTCAGAAAGTGTCATAAAAAATAGCGAAAACTGAAAGAGTTGACCCAGCCACAACAAAGTCCACAACAAAATGCATTTAATGGYTAAAAAAGTGGATTTTGCWTGATATGTCCCCCTTATTAATGATAAGCAGACGTGACCATGCAGTTTAATTATCCATGGATAAACGCATGCCTGCTTCAAATCAGCCTAACATGTAGGAAAACAGAAAGTTTATTTTTATTTCTAACTCAAGTKTACCCCACTTTTATCCCCGTGAAATATGTCATAATCTGCAATACTTACATTTTGTTCCCTCCCTTTTAACCGTGCCAAGTGTGTGCAGTCAGACTCCCAGGATCTCATCCTCATTAGAAGCTTTTGTATTTTGATGTCTGTTGCTGTGCAGCATCTTTAAGATGATAGTCAGGATGTTTTTACAAAGAAACAAAACCAACAACAATTTCCCTGTAATCCACCCCCCCCCCCCCTTCTGCCCGTGTGGCCTTCCTCAGTGTGTGTGTGTCTGCATGTGTGTAGTGTGTTCAAACACGTATGGGTGCGTTTAGTATAATCTCTAATTGTCTGTGCGATCGTAAAGCCTGACCCTCGATGGTTCACGGTGAGAACCCACAGGAAAAAGAAACCTCATCGCTCGTGGGGACCACTTTTTTTGTAATAAAAAAAGAGAGAAAAAAATTTACAAAAAATAAGAAATAAAAAACAATCAGCAGAGATGCACATGTAAGTAGTTGTAAAAAGACTTGATAATGTTTCAGCACTTTCTAATCCTAGGATGGGCTCGGTCTAACCCCTCTGTCTCAGACTGAAACCTGTCCTGGGGGGGTAACATTCATTCAAAACAGAGAATGACTTTGTTGTTGTTGTTGTCGTTGTTGTTGTTGTTGTTTTTAAATAAAAAAGGTGACTATTGAAAGACAGATGGCTCAAGTTCTTTGCACATCGCCGTAACCTTTGTTTGTGCTCCGTCTCACTTGGCGCCCGGTGCGTTTTTCTTTTTCTTTTTTTAAATTTTTTTTTTTTTTGGGGGGGGGGGGGGTCCAACGGGCCGAGGTGTCAGGTGATTTCTTGTTTCATTTGCTGAGTTTAAAGATTGTTCCCACCTCGTACCAACCAGGTTGGGCCATTTCTCAGTTTGAGCTCTAATTTGGCAGATCTGTTTGACAGCTTGGTTTGGATGTGTGGTGTGAAAAAACAGTTGCTTTGTTTGCATAATCTTTGGTGCAGGAGCTTTTTTTTTCCTTGTCTCCTTGTAGCACTCATTTTATTGTCAGGGGACGTAAAACTATGTCAAGAATGTGTCATTGTTGATTCTTATGACAGGCTTCCTCACTGGAGGAGCACCACTTATAATATCTTTTTTTTTTTGGCTTTTTCTTGCACAACTTGACAAATAAAATGAATGTTGGTGTGTGAGCTGTTTGATCAG